CAATTGACAGTCTTTTCTACAGTCATCCCCTGGCCTTGTTCTGATTGATGATAATGAGCTTTTCCATTTTCTCTTTCCACAGATATAGTTGATTTTATTCCTGTATATTCCATCTGACAAGGTCCATGTGTATAGTTGACATTTATGTTGAAAAAAAAAAGGTATTTGCAATGAGTAAGTAATTGGTTGTGCAAAATTCTATCATGCGATCTCCGGCATCATTTCTGTTTCCCAGGCTGTATTTTCCTGCTACTAATCTTCTTTGTTTCCAGTTTTCATATTCCAGTCACCTATAATTATCAATGCATCTTGATTACATGTTTGATCCATTTCAGGCTACTGAAGTTGGTAAAAATCTTCAATTTCTTCATCTTTGGCTATAGTGGTTGTTGAGTAAATTTGAAAATAGTCATATTAACTGGTCTTCCTTGGAGGCTTATGGATATTATCCTATCGCTGACAGCACTGTACTTCAGGATAGATATTGAAATGTTCTTTTTGACAATGAACACTATGCCATTCCTTTTAATTTGTCATTCCCACCATAGTAGACTATATGATTGATTCATAATGGCCAATACTAGTCCACTTCATCTCACTAGTGCCTAGAATATCAATCTTTATGCATTCCAGTTCAGTTTTACAACTTCCAAATTTCCTAGATTGATGCTTCCTACATTTCCATATTCTGATTATCAAATGTTTGCAGCCGTTTCTTCTCATTTTGCATCATGCTACATCAGCAAATACAGGTCTCAAAAGCTTTACTCCCTCGATGTCATTAAAGTCTACTATTAGGAGACAGCTCTTCTCCAGTTGTATTCTGAATGCCTTCCAACCTCAGGGCTCATCTTCTGGCACTATACCAGACAGTGTGTTTCCCTCCAGTTTATAAAGTTTTCAGTGGCAAGTTTTTTCAGAAGGAGACCATTACGCCCTTCTTCCTAGTCTGTCGTAGTCTGGAAGCTCTACTGAAACCTGTCCATCTTGGGTGACCCTGCTGGCATAGTTTCCAGCATGGCAGCAACATGCCAGCCACCACAGTACTACAGACTGACAAACAAGTGGTGGGTTGTATCTTTCAAAAACCAAAATCAAACCCATTGCCATGGAATTGATTGTGACTCATACTGACCCTATAGGACAGAACAGAACTGCACTCTAGGGTTGTCAAGGCTTTAAATCTTTACAGAAGCAGATTGCATCATCTTCCTCCTGTGGAGTGGCTGGTGGGTTTGAACTGCCCACCTTTTGGTTAGCAGCCAAATGCCTGTACCACCAGACCTCCATTATGTCAGTATAAAAAGTGTTAATATCAGTACAGTGATTCTCCTTCCTTACTTATTGCTCTTATTATTTTCCTAGCTATTCCTGGACCTGTGCCTTTCCTTGTAAAGTTAAGAATAAGGTTGTCTTATGTCTCTATAAAAAGCCATGTTGGGATTTTGACAGAAATTTTATTAAACCTATACATAATTTGGGGGAGAAATGGTCTTTTAGACCTTCTTTGATATCGCTCATCAAAATTTTGAAATTTTTGGCATACAATCACTATACATGTTAAGTGTATGTCTCAGTATTTCACGTTTTCACTTTTGAGAGATTTTAAATGATACTGTTTTTAAATTTTATTTCCACAGGCATTGCAAGTATATAAAAATATGATTGACTTTTGCATGTTAATCTTTTATCCAGTCATCTGACTGGATTCAAAGTTCTAGAAGTTATTTTATAGATCCCTTGGGATTTTCTGCATGATCATGTCATCTGCCTTTTATTTATTTTCCAGCCTTATTACAGTGGTTAAGGAGCTCTGGCGGTGCAGTGTTTAAGGCATTTGGCAGCTAATCAGAAAGTTTGTGGTTCAAACTCTTGGAAACCCTTGGGTTACTACGAGTCAGAATTGACTCGATGGCAGTGGGTTTATTACAGTGGTTAGAACTTCCCATCCTGTGTTGAGTAATAGTGGTGAAAGTGGATATCCTTCCCTTGTTCCTGGTCTTAGTAGGAAAACATTGTCTTTCACCATTAAGTATCACGTCAGCTGTGGGTATTTTATAGATGCTCTTTATCAAGTTGAGTTGATTTTTCTCTCTTCCTAACTTGCTGAGACCTTTCATCGTGAATGGGTATTAATTATTGTCAAATTCTTTTTCTGCATCAGTTGATAGGATTATTTGAGCTTTTCTTTAGCCTGTTAATGTAGTGGATTATATTGATTTTCAAATGTTGAGTCAGCTATGCATACCTAGAATAAATCCCACTTGGTGGTGGTGTGTGATTCTTTTTATACATTGTTGGAGCACATTGTTTTTAAGCTCTTAAGTGATTTGATTATGGGAAACAAAAAACCCACTGCCACTGAGTTGATTTCAAGTCACAGCAACCCTACAGGACAGAGTAGAACTGTCCCAAAATGTTTCCAGGGATGTAACTCTTGACGGAAGCAGACTGTCTCATCTTTTTCCCTTGGAGCGGCTGATGGGTTTGAACAGCCACCTTTCTGGGTAGCAACCAACATAGATTTTCCAGGGCTGTAAATCTTTACAGAAATAGATTACCTCATCTTTCTCCAGTGGGTTCAAACTACTGACTTTTTGGGCAGCCCAGTGCTCTAACCATTTAGCCATTTTATATGTATAACGTTTTTCATTTTAATGAATAGTTCATTTACTCATTTTTTTTCTTACAAAAATGGTATCATACTATGCAGATTAGTAACCTCGAGTAAACTGGGAAGTGTCTAGTATTCTCTAATGGGGGATTTCGAGCATGAAGTCTCTGGGGCAGTTTTTTTTGGAACATTTTATTGTGGTTTGAGTAAAACTTTAAAGAGTAAATTAGTTTTCTATTCAACAGTTTATACACAATATATTCAGTGACATTAGTTGTAAGTCCCGCATTGTAATAGCACTCTCCCCACTTTCTCCCTCGTTTCCCTGTTTCCATTCATCCTTCTTTCGTGCCCTTTCCCACCTACTGAACTTTGTTTTTGGGCAAATTCAGGTCTTTTGGTCTTGTATGATGGATTGTTCACTCTATAGGCCTGCCTGTTGTTTAGCTGAAAGGTGAGCCCTGGGGTGAGTTCAGTTCCAGAAGGGCCATGGTCTCTGGGGTTCTGCCATTCTGTATCAGATCAGTAAGGCTGGTTTTAAGATTTTGAAGTTTGTTCTACATTTCCTTCCACTTCGTCTAGGACCATTGTGATTTTCCATGAGAGTAGTAGGTAGTCGTAGCCAGGTACCATCTAGATCATCTGGTCTCAGGCTAGTAGAGGCTATGGTTTGCATGGTCCATTAGTCCTTCAGACTAATTGCTTCCTTGAGTCTTTGATTCCCTTCACCCTTCTTTCTTCCAGACAGGGAGAGACGGGTAATTGCATTTTAAGACTTCTGGGCCAGGTTTCAGTTTCCAATTCCTTCCTCACCATTTGTCAGCTCAGTAACCTTGGGCAAATTATTTCTCTGTGCCTCAGTCTCCTAAAAATGGGTGGTCTCTGAGGTTGGTAATAATTGTGAAGTATTTTAAAAGTGTACATAGTATGCACTCAGATGTTATCTATGTAACTATAGTTATGTCCTATGTTAAGAGTCTAAAATAATGACTCACCTGTGGGCCGTCACTCTGGATCCCACTGTGATTCTAAGTTTTGAATGGGGCATGTAGGAGGTGGATGGCTTCAACTCCCTCAGCCCGGCATACTGTATTACACAATACACAGAGGTGTTACCCTTTGTGTTGCAAGATAATACAACCTTATTGAAAACAAGCTTCACTGTGGGTTACTGTATCCCAAGAATATTAAAAATGGGCAGATTTTTCATGCACACGTAGCTTTTCAGGTGCAGGCGTGTATACTGGAGATGCACAGCTTTTGTTCTGTCTCCATGCTGCTGCATACATACAGCGTGAAAATGACTTCCCCTCAGTGGGCTGCTATGAAACATAAGTGTTTAGGTAGATAATGTTTCAGAGCGTTGTGATATGAAGTATCAAAGCCAGGTCATTGATTGTGTGTGGCTAGAGGTGCTTATGGTGTTTCGGTCTGTGTTACTGTTCTTTGCCATTTCTGACTCCCTCAACATGCCCACCTTGTAGCTCACTGGTTATAACAAGAAACTGAATTACACATTAAAATAGCTGTTGAAATTTATCGGCTAGTCACATGCTCTCTGATCTTTTAAAGCCACTTATCATTTTCCCTTTTTAAATTTCTCAAAAAGACACTAATGTCCTCACATCCCATGATTAAATAAAAATTTTCCTTTCCCCCCTCATCCTCATCATCATCTGGCCCAGTTTTTTTTATTTGTTTGTTTAAATAACTGTATTGAAGGATAATTTGCAAAAATTAACTACCCATTTAAAATGATTTTGACATATATATAAACCCATGAAATCATTACCATAATCAAGATAGAAAACATTTCTGCCTCCCCCAAACCATTTTGTGTGTGTGTGTGTTCCTTGACGGTCCGTTTCCCCTTCCGTCCCCTGTTCCATTAAATAATCATTATAGTTTGCATTTTCTGGAATTTTATACTAATTTTTACTGTTCTGTGTCTTCTCCCACTCAGTATGATGTTTTTAAGATCCATGTTGTTGTGTCAGTATGTCCTTTCTATTTATTGCTGAGTTGTATTTAATTGACTGGATATATCATAATTCATTTATCCATTCATCAGTTGGTAGATACTTCCACATTTCTAGTTTTTGGCTTTCCAGTGAAGCTACTGTGAATATTTGTGTACAAGTCTTTGTGTGGATATATGCTTTCTGGGGTAAAAACCTAGGACTGAAATTGCTGGGTTACATGGTAGTGAATGTTTAAAAGAAACTGCCAGTTTTCCGAAGTGGTACCATGTTGTATTCCCAGCAGCAGCATATGGGAGCTCTAGTTGCTCCACATCTTCATCAACACTTGTGTGTTTTGACTTTTTAGCTTCAGCCATTCTGGCAAGTGTGCAGTGGGTATTTAATGGTGGTTTTTTTTTTCCCCCTTCATTTGTTTTTTGAGGTAAATTTACATATAGTAAAATTCACCCTTTAAGTTAGCATAGAGGTTTATCAGTTTATGAGTTTTGACAGATGCAGTTGCACAACCACTACAGTAGACTATATCCCTTACCCAAAAACTACTCTCACCTGTCCCTTTGTAGTCATCCCCCTCCCCTAGCCCAAGCTCCTGTTAACCACTGATGGGTTTTTTATCCTTTTTGTTTCGTCATGCCTGGCTTTGATTTGCACTTAATAATGTTGAACATCTATTTTATGGGCTCACTGACTATTCACCCATCTTTTGTGAAAAGTTCTAGCACCATTTGTTGAACAGACTTTCCTTTCCTCATTGGACTGCCTTGGAGTAATAGGATATCATTTTAGGGGGCATGCTTTATTAAAGATGGAATACTAAATGTTGGGAAGGGAAGTTAATTTTTTGTGTATCTTACCTTTCTAAAATAATGACTCACCTGTGGGCCGTCACTCTGGATCCCACTGTGATTCTAAGTTTTGAGTAGGGCATGTAGGAGGTGGATGGCTTCAGCTCCCTCAGCCTGGCATCCTGAAATACTAATGGCATTTCTATTTCCATCTTCTGCACTGATTAGAAGCTGGCAAAGATTCCTGCCAGTGGGCTTGGTGTGAATGTGACCAACCAGGATGGCTCCTCCCCACTGCACGTCGCAGCTCTGCATGGTCGGGCTGACCTCCTCCCCCTCCTGTTGAAGCATGGTGCCAGTGTGGGGGCCAGAAACGCAAACCAGGCTGTTCCACTCCACCTTGCCTGCCAGAAGGGCCACTTTCAGGTATGGGTTCTGTCCCTGGGCAGAGTGTAGTAAGTGATTGGTTTGGTTAGACCTTCAGGTGGTGGGGATGCTGCAGAGGGCTGAGGGACTGGTGGCTAGCCAGAGAACCAGCACAGTCTTGCCTCCCAGCGCTGACATGCACATGGTGGACCACCCAGCGCTGACACGCACAGCTCGGTGATGCTTCCTGAGGAGCAGCTCCACACACACTGCCATTCACAACTGGGTGGCACAGAGCTGTCGTTCTGACTCTGACCCCAGCAGGAACTGTCCCTGCTGTCTGGTCATTGAGGGCTCTATCTGTGGTCATCTATCTTTACATTGCCACACCCACAGTCCATGCCAAGCAGTTCATGAAGTACAGTCATAGCCCTATAGAAGGGGTTCAAGAGATACCTGTAGAAGGATTAACTTTTTTTAAAGTCCTGTTTTTCTTTTTTGAAATTTACATACACACACACACAATTTTTTATTTTTTCAATTCTGTAAGCTTTTTTTTTTTTTAATTGTAATTTGGGTGAAGATTTACAGAGCAAATTCACTTGCCATACAGCAGTTCACATATACTTTGTCTCATGTCATTGACCACAGTTTACCACAATGCAACAGCTCCCCTCCCACTTCCTCCCCATAGTTACCTCTGTCCAGTGTCCATCCCTCCATGCACTCCTGCCCCCTGACCTGTCTCCTTGTGCATAAGCAGCCCTTCTTTCTCCCATGATTGTTCACTCCACGGAGTGTATCTACTTGAGGTAAATGTTTAACTCATATGCCTGTATTTTGTTTGGCTGGAAACCACAGGTGTGGGTTCAATCAATTCTGTAAGCTTCTTAAAGACAGGGACCATATTTCAGGTCTTCCGTTTTTCCCATTGCACCTAGCATAGTGCATCAAACATCATTTCCTAATCTGTAAAACTGGAGTCGTAATTCCAACTCTCCAGAGTGTTGATATAAAGATGAAATGAAAAAACCTAGTACCTAGCACATTGCCTGGCATACGGTAGGTCCTCTACTAATGTTAATTCCTGCTCTTCTTCAGTTGGTTTACTTTCTCCGGAGAGTCAGACATGTGTCTAAACAGCCTTAGACAAAAGTCGGAAGAATACTGTGTTAGAGCATTTTTTGCCTTGCAAATTATAATTAAGGTTGCAAACTTTTTATTTTCTGAGCTAGGTGGTGAAGTATCTATTAGATTCCAATGCAAAACCTAATAAAAAGGATGTAAGTGGAAATACACCCCTCATTTATGCCTGTTCCAGTGGCCATCATGAAGTTGCAGCATTGTTGCTACAGGTAAGTAAGAGCCTCATTATACAGGAGCCCTCTGACAGAGCTGCAGCCCTGATACAGGGCTATGGGTCTGTGTAACGTCAGGAACTTCCACACAGTGCTCTCGCCCTGTGTTGGTGCGCTGATAGCAGGAGATGGTAGGCCTCACACCATTTGCCTTCAGCGGACTCACCTGCATTTCCACATGATTCTGGGATGGGAAGTCAGGTCCCAGGGTCTGTGTCCGGTTTGAATCTCACCTCATTTCTGTGGGTGAGTTGAATTGTTAACCTGAAGTGGGAGCTTACTGTCTTTCAGTGTCACTGCTACTCATCCCTTTTTTTTTATTGGGGTGTGTGTGTGTGTGTGTGTGTGTGTGAAATATATGTAACAAAAGCCATTTCAACCATTTTTACATGTATGTTCAGTAACTTAATTATATTCAGTAACATTAATTATATTCACTATACTGTGCAACAAGTCACCACTATTTATAAACTTTTTCATTGCCTTTAACCTTAATTAGCAATATTTCTTTTCTTCTCTTGATAAAGGTAGTATGTGTTGATTGTAAGACAGAATTTAAAGAAGTAGGGGAAAAGAACAACTTGCCAATAACCCTACTACAATTAATTATGGCAGTTAATTGTGGTGGACTTTAAAAAGTATGTATAGTTTAGATCAGTATAGTTTTCTATCTTGCTTTTTTTCACTGAACATAGAGAAATGTTTATTAAAACCTTGATTTTTAGTGGTTGCATAAATATGGATGTCTCATTAGTGTGTTTTTCTTTTTTAACTGATTCTGCTCTGTGCATTTCAGTGGCTTCTATTTTTATTTATGCTAGGTTGATAAACGCTGCAGTGACTGTCTTTGTACATAACTCTTCTTCTCAGGAGTACTTTAATCCCCACCATTTTATTATGAAAATTTTCAGACATGCAGAAAAGTTTAGAGAATTTTTACATGAGCACCCATATGCATACCACCTAGATTCTACTTCAACATTTTGTACCATTATGTTTGTGCTGTTCCTCTTCTAGCATGGGGCCTCCATTGATGTTTCTAACAATAAGGGCAACACAGCACTGCATGAGGCTGTGATAGAGAAGCATGTCTTCGTGGTGGAGCTGCTTCTGCTTCATGGAGCATCAGTTCATGTCTTGAACAAGAGGCAGTGCACACCTACAGACTGTGCTGACCAGGTGAGTGGAGAGAGCTTAAGAACTGGGAGAGACTCAGGCTCCTGTACAAATCACTCTTGATTCTTTGCATTTAAACCGGACTGGAATAGCAGTAGGCAGATACTTGGATTGCTGAGCTGGTCTGGATTGGCAGGGTGTGCCAGAAAGCCTGCCAGGGTGGTTAAATGCCTGGCCCTTGGTCACCTGATGAGAGGTGGCACACGTGGGAAGCCAGGAATCATTCTTTCAAAAGTAGTTTTCAGAGGGGTGAGAGGAGGTGCCCCCAACACCTGCAGGCAGGTACCTGACTGGGGAGAGTTTGGTTTCAGAGGAGGTAGCAAGTGAAGACGTTGTCCTGGTTTCATCGTCCCAGCAGTTGTGAATACATCTGTTGCTTTAGCAGCACAGTAGAGCAGGTCTGTTCGGTTTGTAGATGTAAAACTCCTTGAGTTCTTTAAGGGCGATTATAATTAGTAATTTACCACTCTCCAGTTCTGTGGATGTTTGCCATGGAACGGTGATGAAAGAAAAGTCCTTTTCTGTCCCTGTTTCATGCTGAACCTTTATCTAGTGTTCTATGTGGGAATAAACCACCAGTAGGTTGTTAAATGAAACACTTGACAAGGTCCCTATAAATCCAACCTGCTCGTTGTACTTTAATTTTCAGTACTATTTCTTAATAAAATTGAAGCATTTTTAAACTTTCAATTTAATACTTTTCTAAATGATGGTGAATGTTTTGTATCATGCACTTACTGTGTGCTCGGCCTGTTCTTGTGCCCCTGGGTGCAAATGGGTAACGTGCTCAGCTGCTAACCAAAAAGCTGACGCTTCAGGTCTCCCCAGAGGCACCATGGCAATCTATTATCGAAAAGTCAGTCAGTGACACCCTCTGGCGTCCACCTCTATCTGACGCACATGGGCCACCTGACTTGGCATCGGCTCAGCAGCACCTGGTCGGCCCTGTTCTGGTGCACTTCCTTCAGCTCACCTAGTCTTCAAGATAATCATATAGGAATATTGTCACATCCCCCGCACTGTTTGCTTAAACACCTGGCCCAGAGCATCTAGCAGAGGTCAGCTCCAGGCTCCACATGGAGGCCAGCTGGCATCAGAGGGCTGCTCTTAATCACTAGGCTTTATGATCTCAAATTTTTGTCTGGAGTTGCTTCTGAGCTTTTCTGCCTAACCACACCAATGCTAACATTTAGACTGAAAGCAAGCAGTAATCTCCTAAATAATAACAAATGCTGCTGTTACTTTTTCCTTCCCAAATTATAGAATTCGAAAATAATGGAGTTACTTCAGGTAGTACCAAGCTGCGTTGCTGCATTAGATGATGTTGATGAAACAGACCACAAGGAGTATGTTACTGTTAAGATCAGGAAAAAATGTAAGAGTTTATATTGTTTCTATAACTCTTAGCTTGGGTTTATTACTTAGTAATAAACTAATAATGATTTATTACTAAGCTATTACTTAGCTTTGGTACTTACTGGTTTTCATAAAATATAATTATAATCGTGACTGGCATGTGATATAGGTACCAAAGACATGTATGTTGCACTGTAAATTACCGAGTGAGAGGTGAGCTTTTATTGGTACTCGTTTTCTGGTTGATTGTAATGATACTTCCTAAGGAAATAAGATAGAAACTCTCAGCGTTACCTTGAAGAGTCAGGCCTCTACTGACCAACTGGAGAGGATGAGAAGCTTCTGGTGGTTTTTTTCATGCCTAATGTTCCAAAGCCAGGTGTTCTTCTGAGCATTTCTGGAATCCAGGGTAAATGCTACCTTTAAAATTGTTTTTTGGTTGTTGTTTTGTTTTGGATTTTGCAGGTATACAGAGGTTGCTGCTAATTAGAACAGTAGTTGCTATACAGGGATGGGGATTGAAGTTTTCTTACTGTACATTTTGGAAAATTTACAATATGGATTTACAGTGCAAGGATGTGAATAAGCTCATAGGCCTGGATAATTCTCTGGCTGTCTCACCATAATCAGCTGTAGCTTTTTGTGGGACGCTCACAGAGTAATAAATAGATAGTTTCTATTATATTTCTTCGAGCAATTTCCATGCTTATTTTCTGATTTTTGTTAAACTAAGAATATGGAAAGATTGATTATGTCTATGCTAATATTTTAAAACAATTCTTAATCTATTTCTGAAGTATTAAGAAACTTATCCTTTTATCTACAGGGAACTCAAAAATGTGTGATTTACCAGATGAACCTTTTACAAGACAGTTTTATTTTGTCCACTCAGCTGGTCAGTTTAAGTAAGTAAAAATTCACGTTGATTTCTGTGCTTTTGACCCTACAGTTTACTTACAACTGAAGTAGGATAAGGCAAATTTGTGGCACTGTGCTTAAAGCACTGGGCTGCTAACCAAAAGGTCAGCAGTTTGAGCCCACTAGCTGTTCCTCAGGAGAAGGACTGAGGCAGTCTGCTTCTGTAAAGATCCGCAGCCTTGGAAACCCTATGCAGTTCTACTCTGTTATGTAGGGTTGTAATGAGTTGCAATCAATTTGACAGCAGTGGGTTTGGTTTTTTGAGTTATCCCAAATGTTTATCTTGGGCTTCAGGGGAAAGACTTCAAGGGAGATTATGCCAAGAGGTAGAAGTGTCCCTAATTTTACTGAAGACTCGTTGCATCAGGTGAGTTAAACACTGCCTTACAATCATTGTTTATAAAATCTGGCTGTTTGAAAGTAATCCATGGTAAATACATTTCTCCTTAATAGTCATCTGCATTTCATTATTCCCTTCAGTGTAAGAATGAACAATTAAAACTAGAATTTTTTAGTGGGATGGTCAAGATTACAGACTCCATTTCTTGTTACATTTCAAAATACATTTCTGAGCTGAGAGAGAGAAGGGAAAGTAGAAAATAGCATGGTAAGGTGCAGCTCATGGTGTGTTTAATAGGGGAGGTATCTCAAACGTCACTTAGCAAATACAGGATGAAAACAACAGTTTGCATGTAGATTGGTAAAAACCTTCTCCAGAAATGGAATAAAGATGTTCCTAAAGATAATTTTGTATGTGACCCTCTTCTGCAGCACCACTTAATTGCTCAGTTACAATAAGAAGTCTGCTTTATAAACTATGATGCTATAAATAAAGCGACTCTTCCCAGAAACAGGACTTTTCTGATTGCTGCCTGCCAGTTTATAGCTATTGATGATGAGAAACAGAATTTTCAGCATGTGGCACAATAGGCTTGTGTGAACAAATACACAGAAGTCCTAAATCTGTCACAGGAATCTTTGACATTCATTAAAATGACTAGTTTTGATTTCATATTTTATCTTCTTCCATGGCTTTGCTAACAGTCCTGCTGCTTAGTGGTAAAGCTACAAACTTTGAAATCTGCCAGGGTTCAATCAAGTGCTAGCTTTTTCCTTGCTATTGAGACACATTGCTTAATTGGCTGATCCTGTTTTTTCAGTTGAAAGATAGGGATAACAGCAGTATATACTTCTTAGAAGTGTAAAGATTAAATGTGAAAACATGTAGAGCATTTACTGTGTGTCTGACACATGTCCACATTCAAATGTCGTACCATGGCCACAGAGATGTTAGAATTGATATGCCTGAATGGCGCTTAGCACAGTGTCTGGCACATACTGAACACTCAAAGGTAGCTGTTATTGGTGATTGTTTAAAGTACTGTACGAATGTGAACTGTTTGAACTGTACGTCTTCTTTAGCCAGGGAGGCAAAGAGCCACACTGAAACAGAATCACCTGCCAGACCAGAGCAGACTTCAGACTGCTGACAGAGGAAACAGTGATCAGCCCAAGACGCCTACACAGAAACAAACTGCTCCTGGAAACAGGCGGATGCTCCGCAGACACACAGTCAATGATGCAGTTGGAGCCAAGGGCCAAGAGATTGCTAGCAACCTAACCACTCCCCAAGTTTAATATTTCCCAGGCTTAACAGTAATAAGGAATTGTGGAATTTGCTGCCAAGAAGGGAATACTCAACAAGAAGATGCTGAGCATGAATACAGTTTACAACTCAATGTACCTTCAAATAACTGGCTTGAGAGAGTAAGTCTTCCGCAGAAAGTTTCTGAAAGCTTTTCCATAGGAAAGTGGCTGAGGGAAAGAATGCAACAAAAAATTATCACTATGTCTTTCCTTTTCAGAGCTAATCAATGCACTTAAAAAGGAATGGGCAAAAGTTCCATAGTGTCCAGATGCTTAAATCCAGGGTGTATGTTTCTTTTTAAGTATTAGGGCCCCAGCCCAAGACAGGGCTCCTTGGTTATAGTGAGAGGTTTCATCATCAGATTCTGGTCTCCTTCTACTGAAAGGTGCTACACATTGTGATACATATGATAAGTTCCATCTGGGCTAATCTAAAGAGAAGCAATTTAAGTTTTATGATACTCTAGAAGCCAGGTAGAAAAGTCTCATCTGAATGAAGAAAACAGATCTGGAAAGATATTTCTTTGCAAAGCAACACTTTAACCCAAAGATGTCTAAATGCCATATTGACATTCATTTTAGTGAAAAGGATGTATTAGACCTGTCCTACACCATGTCCATAGGAGAAATTGGGTACAATTTTTTCTCCAACAAAGTACAGATATATATAGTTACTGCAAATATGCACCTGTAGCGGTGTCTCTAGAAACATCCCTTTCTGTTACGAACCTCCCTTAATGTCACACCGAAGGATGGTTACTGAACTAGACAGTAGATTTGGCACATCTTTTCTTAGTCTTTTTATTCAGATTCAAAACTTAACAGCACAAACCAGTCTAAAGTTACTTTAAGTTAGAATTTATTCCTTTTAGAATTGCCATTTATTCCTTTTTATAAATTTCTATAGATTATATGATTATTTTTTTATGTTATTAATTGGCCTAGACCAGCAAACACGGTTTTGTCCTGAGTACATTTTCAAATAACTTTGTAATAGGGAAATGGGTTTGTGCATGTTATTGGAAATACTTATGTATGTACAGAAGGGAGGGATTGCTTATTTTTCTACAAAGTAATTTATGATTTCTAATTTTCTAATGTGCCTTGGATACGTGCCAAATGATGGAAAAGAAATAGTAAACTTTGATTCATGAGTGTGCCCTGGTATGTTTTCATTAATATTTTGTGATGAAGATAGGAGTTTCTCAGCCTCTCTGCTACTAATGTAGTTTATGTGTATGGGAAAATGTTTTCCTGTGGGAGGGATGGATGCATATCTTATTCTTCAGTTACATATGTGCAACTGAGACATACAAACCTGATAAATCAGAGCAGATCATTATCTGTCAACCAGACTAAACCAAAAATAAACCCACTGCTAATCAAGTCTATTCCAACTCACAGCAACCCTTGCTGGGTTTCCAAGGCTGTCAGTCTTCACAGAAGTAGATTGCATCATCATCATGGAACAGCTAGTGGGTTTGAACCACCAACCTACTGATCAGCAGCCAGATGCTTTACCCAGTATTCCACCACCAAAACAAAACTCAGTGCCATCAAGTCAGATCCAACTCACAGCGACCCCTCCTTGGGTTTCTGAGGCCGTATCTCTACGGAAGTAGATTACCCAGCTTTCCTTCTGGCAGATCTCCTTAAATCTTTATGGAATCATCCTTCTTTTGTGGAGCAGCTCAAGTTCAAACCACTGACCTTTTGGTTAGCAGCCAGATGCCTTAACCACTATACCCAAGCTCCTTGTTGACCTGACTAGGGCTGACTTAATCTAGTCGACTCAGTGCCTGGGCCCACAATACTTCCCATCAAGTGACTACTCATGGTGACCTATGTGTGCAGA